TGTATTTGGTTAAAAACAGCTGTATCTGATGTCCATCTTTGTGTTTCTGCTGACTTCTCTTTTATTCTGCCTCCTCCCAGATGTCCGTGAAACAGAGCGCAGGAGGAGAAGCGGTCTGTCTCATATGTAAAGAGGGCTGCTCTGGATTTCAGCCGCATTCTTGGAGGTAAAAGCAGTTTTTTAAAATGATTATAATTGCATAAAGAAATAAAACCAAAGAAGCTCTGAGGCTAGATGCTGTCCCAGCGTTCTTTTATTCAGCGTTCTTTTTCATTCCTTTATTTAACAAAAACAAGTAGTGAAGAGTGTTCAGTCGGCTCAGATTAAAATCTTACATTTTAAATTTTCATGAAACCTCCGCACCTCCACAGGAAAGCCTGTACGGCCTGTGGCTGCAGCACAGTGGACCACATTCCTGGTGGTGACCTTGAAGATGACCAGCACATGGGACGCCTGCTCTCTGAGTCGCCCTGCTCCCACCTAACTGCAAAGGTCAAAGGAGGTGGTGGCCTTCGCATGTACAAACGCAACCGCATGATTGTGACCAATCCCGTGGTGTCGCGCAAAGACCCCACATTCAGCACCACAACCTACGACTGGGCACCCGCCGGACTCAACCAGAAACTGGTGAGCGGCAGATAATTGTTGTGGTGCATATTTGTTTTGATAGGCGTCATTTGGACCAATCTAACCTTAATAACAACAGAAATGATGAATCAGTGAAGTGGTTAACAAACAGCCAGTGGTTTTTATAGCCCAATGTCTCACATGTTTTGTAGTGTATCTGAGATTTTCCTATTGTATTCTCTATTCTATTTGAAATATCTATTACTATATATGCATATTATATGTTTCTATAAAGCCAATAATCAGAATCAGAATGACTTGATCTGGAATTACAAACAAACTCCTGATGGAAATGAAAGGTATCTCAGCATATGTGAACTATGATACTAGTAGAAAGAGAGTATAAATGCAGGAAAATGTCAATAGCAGCCTAATATTTACAACAGGGTCACTGACACCAGGGGGCACTGGACATCCAAATGAAAAAAGAAATAAAATCGCAATTTTGTGAGACTGTATTTTAAACAGTCATAAATGATGGGGGATCACTGATAGTTATTAAGTAAGAATGTAATGAAGAATTAGCTTGAGTTAACCTGAGTTATATGAATCCAATATAAAAATGCAGTAGAACCCACAGTAGAACATGTAGAACACACACGCCCTTGGTTGTTCACGTCAGCGATGTGTCCTCTTCTTAGAGGTTTATACTCCAGCCCATGTCAGACAGATTAAATACCTCTGTGTTTTAATCACACCGTACGTAGGTTTCTCTTCATCTCCCACAGAGCTGCAGAGATTACATACGAGATGGAGAGTTTCAAAACTCCGTGGACCAAACCTTGACCAACCTTTATCGTGGGCCTCTTACACGCTGATGGCAACAGCCTGCTCTTCCTAAACAATTTTAAACCCCTCCTGCCTCTCCACTGTCTGGTTTCTATTAAAAAAAGCCAAACCCATGTTTCAGGTTTCACAGCCTGTAATTATGATGATGACTGTGATAACCCGTACTGCAGTAGTGGGGGACATTTATGTGGTTGTCCTGTCCCAGCGCTGAGGCTGTTATCCAGATGTGTCTCTGAGAATAATCTTAATATGTTTCAGTTTTTTACTTTTAATTTTTTTGTTTTTCACAGCATGTTAGTCAGGATCTGCATCTTGTGCAAGCGAGTAACGGCACACAGATATGTCAATGACAACAACTAAAACTGACGTGACACAAAAAGATTTCACACAAAGAAGTGGTAGTGAGACAACAACGATTTCTAAAACAAAACTAAGCAAGGATATGAACCCGTTTATTCCCACAGTTTGAGCTCTCAGAGTTTCTAGGGCTGATGTATCTCGGTGGGGTTCCTCAGTCAGGGCTGTACAGTTTCATCTCCTGCTGTCAGAACAGCTGTTTCTGACACGCCTGTGGTGTCACTGGGTCTCACTGGGTTCAAGCTGTGGTTAGATGGATGCTATTTCAATTATTCTACTCCCACTACAGGCCATGCAGTACATGGAACTCCTCCTAGAGAGTCACCGCCCTGTCTCAGGGACCCATGGAGCTGTGGAGCGGCGTAGGAAGCTCCTGAGCCAGCTCCCCGTTTATGACCATGACCCCATGAAGTGCCAGAGCCTCGCCACTGACCAGGAGGTACAGTACTGCGCTGGCATCATTTTACCAAACACTGAATTTTACCAAAGATTGTATCTAAGAAATTGACAGAGCTTTTTGGTGTCTAGCGACTTTGGAAAGTAAAGTCCACGAACCAGTGGTTGGGAACCATTTGTCCATTGTAATTACACATATAAATAAACAACGGATTTTTCATCTACAACAGGGGTGGGCAAACCTTTTGGCTC